CCTCGGAAAGCTACGTATGGTTTTTGATGTCTCATGTTGAAGGCAAGCACAAGCCTGGACACATGTAGAGGGAGGCTCCTGAGATCATGGGCAGCACCACCAGCTTTCCTTACCAACCTGCACAGCCTGGCAAGAGGCAGGGGGATGTGGTTTCCATCTAAATATAGGAATAAGCCAGCCGAGATGGAGAAGGGGGACTATTTAAATTTGTTTGTGACTCATCTTAGTCTGGAAATAAGGCTCCGGTTCCCGACCGTCAACACGGACGTGCTCCAGGACAGCTTCTGGTGCGGCCAGCAGAGGCAGGAGCATTTCCAAGGTGGGAACTCAACTGGGACAACAGGCTGGGGCAGGAGAGGCTTGTGCACGGTGATGCTTTCTTTTCCTTTGACCCCTGCCAGCTGGTGAGGCAGGATGCTCTCAAGTGCCCGTGCTCCCTCCAGGCCCTCCGGCTCCGGCTGGGTTAGCTATTGCATTTTGGCCAAAAATACTAAAGCGGGGCAGGTTTCACTCTTCTTCTGGTCATGCATGGGGCTGTGTGATGCTACCCTTGCAAAGGCCAGGGTTTTGATTTTTTTGATAAGCAGCAGGAAGCCTAAGAATCATTTTAATATAATTCCCATGTGAATATACCACTTGTGTGTAAATTTGGTATAGCTACTTATAATGTATAAATAGCTTCTCTCTTTTCCCATATCCATTTTCCTCTGTCAGTAAGGATTATACGTATTTTATTTAGTTTGGGAATAGCTATAAGTTGCTCCAGTGTTGTTTATTCATGGACGGCAGCTAAAAATAAGATTTTTGACATCTTTTCAAATCTTCCTATATACATAGTCAGTTTTATTTTTCTTCCCAGGGAAATACAACTTTAGAGATGGTTGCAAACGCTTAGGGAAACTTCTCTATAGAGCTATAAAATCCAGTTGAATTCACTCAGTGCTGTATGCAAACTATATATTTGCTTAAGTTTGTTTCTGTATGCTAACAAATGCATTGTCAGAGCTGACGGGACAGTGGAGTTTCCTTAGTTAGGACTGCATTCCTACATCAACTCACTTACCTGAATGCTGTTAATGTCTTAATCCAGAGCAAGTCCCAATCTTGGAAGCGGGATTGGTCACCAATGTGGGGAGCGAGCTGCACATATTGCAGGCCTAGGGCTGCAGAAAGGGGAATAGCTGTACAAGAAAGTGGCTTTGGTGGGAAAGCTTGTTGCTGAGAAGTGAAGGTGGGTGGCATGCCAGAGGTACCGTACCAAAAAAGGGACAGGACAAGGCGGAAAACGAAAAGAAACAGGAAAAGCCAAGTGTTTTTCTTGTGATTCCAGCTTCAAGTAGTTTAGTATTCAGGCTGTCCCAAGAAAAAAATTTGCCATGTGATGCTGTGAAAACCTTCCTGCAGCCTCTGTTTCTCAGAAATGCTGCAACGCATCTAGCTGTTTCCTGCATGACCAGAGAGTAGTCTCAGGTTCGGTGGTGGCCGGCTGGGGCACAGGCTACGCTCACATTAACCCCCTAAAGACCAGATTTGCACTGAATGCAGGCTCTGGCATTATGGGCTTTCACTAACCCCCACCTCTATGACAAAAGCAAAAGTGAAAGCAGCCATGCAGCCCAGCTGCAGCTGGGACCTGGGTGTCTCAGCATGCAGGAATGCAGCCTTAGCTTAACTACTGCCTCATTAAGAACCACTTTATCGTGCTGCTAATCTGTGCATAATTTATGGGCTGTTTTTTCTTATGGCTTGTTGTATTTCACTGTTGCAACTGAGTTTTCCCTCTGTGTCTCTCTGCCACTATCTGGCACCTGGGGCTTTTCCTTCGTATTTAAACAGCACCCAAGTGCTGGAGCACTTTGGTGACAGGCTGTAACTGCAAGGCTTACTGGAGGCTTCTGGCAACCTGGCAGGAGAAAGCGACTTAGAACCACAGAATCATCATGGCTGGAAAAGACCTTCACGACCATCTAGTCCAACTGTAAGCCCATCACCACCCTGGCTGCTAAACCGTGTTCCTAAGTGCCTCATCTACGTGTTTCTTGAACACTACCAGGGACGGTGACTCCACCACTTCCTTGGGCAGCCTGTTCCTGACTACTCTTTCTATGTAGATTTTTTTCCTAATATTTCACCTAAATGCATGTATATATGTGTGTTCTTATATATGTAGATTTCCACCCAATTTCTCTAATCCTTCTGCTGTGCAGTTGGGAGCATGTTTTTTTCCTCATTCCCTTGGCTTGAAAAAAAAGTCCCTTTTCACAAGAGGAAGCTCGAGCCTCACCTAGTTGTAAAAAAAAAAAAAAGATAGCTAAATGAGAAACTGAAATGGTATCGCTTAATTTTCCCCGTTTCTGCCTTGTGTGCAGTGCTGGATGGGGGGAGTCTTGTGGGGACTCCTGCAGTGATACGGTGTCACGAGCTCCCTGCCCAGGTCGATGCTGAACCTGTGCACATCCCTTGGCTGAATTTACCTTTATTATTATTATTATTATTTTTCTTTTTTATAAGGGCCTCCGGTGCACAATGCATTTGGGGGTGCATGGGGGTGTGTGGTGCAACTGGAGCGCATCCGCGTGTGGTGCCCAGGATGTCGGGCACGGGACAGCACATCTGTGCATCGCGCTCTGGGGCGCGTGGCTGCGTTGCGCATCGGATTGCGCTCCCATCTTCCTCCCAAAGGAAAGAGAGTTCCCAAAGATTCCCAGGTAGCTTGGGCAGCCCTTCCTCTCGCCTCCCTGCCTCGCAGTTTGCAGGTGCGCTTTTTATGGTAGAGGAGGGGAAAGAAAAAAAAAAAGAAAAAGAAAAAAAAAAGGAAAAAAAAAGCTGCATTTCCCTGTTAAGAAAAGAAATAAACGAGGGGAAAAAAAAAAAAAAAAAGCAGCAGCAGGGGCG